GATTGATCAGTTCCACGAGACCTGCGACTTGCGTTTAATGTAGAACGGCCTTTGAGTTCCACTTTTGTGGAAATACGGCTAAAACCAGCGGCTGAAACCGTCGTAAAAAATTACTATAGGATGGCCGCTCTCAGGTTTCTCTCTGCTAGTATGATTGCATCATTGAGTCTAGAAAAAGAACTTTGATACATAATACAGCCGGTCCCGGTTAACGTTACGGTTACGCCTGGTTTTGGCGCGCAAACATACATCGTTACCTATAACTACGGTACTGCGCCCTCAGCTGTAAATCAACGCGCATGCGCGAGTGCGGGGCAAATCTAGCATCACTGGTTTGGTGGCCCTGTGTTGATGTTTATCGGCCACACCACCTACTGATCTAAAACCCGTATTTACGATTTTTTGTGGTTGAAACTGACCTGAAAAGATTGTTGTGTAGCTATTACGTTAAAGATGGTGTACCTTCATTTTCCATCGAATCTTACGGAAGAAGAGTTAATGCTGCGAACCAAATATGCCAAACTTCAACGTAAAGTACGTAGGAAGGTTATGTTCACATCTCAAAAAGCGTAACACGTTAATTGTCACGCCGATTTCTACGGACCGGCGCTGAGACTTTCTGTTGTACCCTGCGCTAGTTCCCACGAACCAGCGGTTGACTTTTTTGCTTTAATATCTTTAATTTTTCAAGAAACGGTGTCGTTCACGAAAAGTTAAGACTCAGACCGGCGCGGCAACGTGGCTTAAATTTAAAGCAAAAGTCAATCGCCGGTTCGTGAAAACCGAAACATCATAAACGGGAAGTCTAGGTCCGTGAGGACCGACGTGGCGGTTAATCCGTTTGCCAGGAAGTTTAAATATTTATGTTTTACATAATTCTATTCGCTTCGTTTCTTCATTTCTGTAAATTTGCTTGTAGAAAAAGGCGCTGCAACATTTGAAAGCGCCGAAACAAGAGATCGAACGTATTCCTCAGGCACCGAAACGGCCTACGGAAGCAAGAGATGCTCGCGAAGTAGCCAAGAAGTTGATCAAATCGGGCGTGATCACAGCTCCAAAGACTCCCAAGAGACAGGAGCAAACGTTCAAGAGATCTCGGGGATTGTTAAGAAAGCTAATGAATAGCACAGAAAAAACAATTAATTGTTCGTATCAACCGTTTTCAGCAACACAAGAGGAGGAAGATACAGAAGCGGCAAGGCCTAGAGTCAAAAATCTGTACTTATCTAATAATTTTGTCGGTGCTCAAGATACAGGAGATAGTAAGGTTCTGCTCACAATAAACAAATTAGAAACAGGAATAAATATTAGAAATAAATTAAATTAAACAAAATGAAGACCTCGTGATAAAAAATTGAAGTAAAGAGGAGAGCCGATACGAAGTAACACAGGATGTCAGTAAGATTTATTTAAAGCCAAATGTTTCGATCATAGATTTTTATCTTCATCAGTGGCAAAAAAACTATTAGTAAAAATATAAGTTATACATCAGCACGTATTAATTCGATGGAAAGTAATTCCCGTCGATATTATGTTAGAATCGTTATCACAAAAAGCTGATTTTGCACGAATTAATATGTGCTGATGTACACAACTTATATTTCTACTAATCGTTTTTTTTTTTTGCCACTGATGAAGATCAAGATCTATGATCGAAACGTTTGGCTTTAAATAAATCTTACTGCTTTACAGCGACATCCTGTGTTACCTCGTATCGGCTCTTCTCTTTACTTCAAATTAAAATTATTTTTTTACAAAAACAAGAAAATAGAATAAGTTAATGCATCATAAATAAAAAAAAAATAAGAATTTGAAATATAAATTATTTATTCCGTTCTCTTGTTTAATGTAACATTATTTCAAAATTCTTTTCCTAATATCTAATAAAATTAATTTAAACAATTAAAGAATCTTTTAAGGCCCCGCAAAGTTTCCAAACTAATAAATATATATATATTCGGTCATGAGAGCCGTTCGCTAGGTGTTGTGCGTAAATTATACGTGTATATATATACATATATACGTGTTCACGTGTAAATTTTTACACGTGAAATTCGAATCATATATGAGATGCAAGTATAGCATCCTATATGAATTTTAGAATTGTTATTACAATTCGAATTTCACGTGTAAAAATTTACACGTGAACACGTATATATGTATATATATACACGTATAATTTACGCACAACACCTAGCGAACGGCTCTCATGACCGAATATATATATAAAATTAATTTACTTCTAATATTTTCTCTATTGTCTGCAGATTCTAACACCAACGATAAGCAATCTCCAGCCAAACAGGAGGTTAAAAACCCTTCTCGGGCGGGAAACACAATCTTTGTATTTGGTTATAAAATAACGGAAGATTATCTGAAGAAACATTTTCAGAGCTTTGGCAACATAATAAACATATCCATGGAGTCTGAGAAAAAGTAAGCACAAATTATCGCGATATAATTCAATAAAATTCAATAAAATTCTCTAATGTCATTATATTAATAATTTGATTTTAAAATCAATTTTTACTTTTTATTTCACAGTCATGGCTTTATAACTTTTGATAAAGCTGAAGCGGCTGAAAGAGCGATAAGCGAAATGGACGGTAGCATGGTTTCTTCGATCCAGTTAAAAGTCTCATTGGCGAGACGACAGCCCATAATAGAGCCTGTTGGTGGTGACACTATGTCCAGTTCCATGTGGTCACCAATCGCAGCTAATTACTCGCAAAAAAGTGCTCACAAAGATCGACGGGAACTCAAGATATACGAAGAGGATCTCTTCCAGTAAATGCAAATAGATGCGATTTCAACATGGTCAACCTTTTTATATCCGAAACTTACCAGCGGCAAGTCTCGGTACGGTATATATAAAGTAATGTTTATTTACATTATCATATTTATCATAAAATAGATTACATGTTTGTGATATAAAGCATGTGATTCAATCTACGTCAAGAGAATTTAAATACTATACATTATAACTGTTGGAGAATTTATACTCGTGTATATTTGGTATCATAATAGTATGTAATTACAATGTATATATATATATATATATTTTTTTTTACAAACTTGGCACATGTTTGCTTTATTTCGATATTTTATACAAGATTAACAATTCCGTTCAATTTGCTTTGCCGTCTCCGTGTGTACATTTTTTTTTCTTTTAAATTATTTTCTTCAACACAAAATCTGTTGCAATTTTGTGTTTAAGAAACCAAAATTGGTAAGATACGAAAATATGAAAGAGAATTTTAATTTTAATTTCTATGCGAGAGAGAATCAAATGAGATGCATTTATATGAACGTTATATTTATGATGAAAATTTGATTGTAAAAAACCGCGTTATTGCGGAGGATTGAAGTAATCCCAATGATGAAGATGCGTTACAGTTTGTGTTCTGCTAAAGTAATATATCAGCAAGCCTGCGATTAGAAGTAACAGGGCGCATATTGCTAGTTCCACTTCTCTGACCTTTTCCCTCGTGTCGTCCGCGCTTATTGTGGACGTTAAATATCTTACAAAGTGTCTCATGGCTTTTATGCCGGTCAGTCGAAGAGCCCGAAGAAGCTGCTGCGTAGTGTCTATTACACCGGGCTCCGAATCAACATGCTGACTCGTAGGCGTTTCGTTCAGAGCAAAGAAACTGGCCGGAATTTCGGAAGCTGGGATGGCAATGAAGTGAGTCGTGTTCAGAGGAAAGGAAGATATCGGTGACTGAGAGAACTCTCTCTGTCTGTCCCGTAGGGATTGTTCCAAGTCGAAAGAGTGCGAAATGACGGCACGCTGTGGCTGATGAGCGGCTTTCGGAACACTTTGTTCCGTGTTCGAAGAATAGGAAATGACAGCACGCTGCGGTTGAGCGTTCATAGAAACACCGCGTCCCGATACGGTCGAATCGGGTGTGTCGGGAGTCACGGAGATGGCTGGTGGCAATGAACGGACCGGAGACGCGGTTTGCCGTACGATACCTTTTGGGGAAGAGGATCTAGACCTCGACTTGCTAGGAGAAGATGATCTAGACTTGCGACAAATCTGTTCTTTGCTGTCGAACGCGTTATCCCCGTTGCCATGAAGATCCATAGATGTTGCGTCCGGTTCGGTAGTAGTAGCGGTACTTGTTGCTGTTGTCTGAACACAGCTACTCGGAGATTCGGCCACGCGTTCCGGAGACACTCTCGATTCGGAGAGTTGAGCTGAAGGCACATCCGACGGAGGATACGAGGCATGAGATTCGACCACGTGAGAACCCGATGTGGAACTCAAAGTTAAGGGATGTTCGGAATCTAAAATTCGTAAGGACTTATCTTGAGTATCTTGAGCAACCGAGAGCAAGTGTGTGGTGGATTCGTTTGTATCCTTGAAATCTAATTCATCTATTGGGATTGTCTGTGGGGATAAGGATTCTTTGGCTTGAGCAACTGAGGAGGTGTGTGATGTTTTTTTAGCCCTGACATCTATTACATCTGTTTTAACAACCTTTTGGTCCTCGTCAGCTTCGGTCTTCGCGTCTTCGGTGAATGCTGATTCGTTCGCGGCGGTCTCGCTGGACTCCGTCGCTTCCCGCTCCACAGGTGGCTGTTCCGCGGATTGTTGTTCTGCAGATTGTTGTGACGCAGATTGTAGCTCCGCAAGTAACTGTTGTGCAAGTTGCAAGTCCGCAAGTAACTGTTGCGCAGGTTGCAATTCTGCAGGTAGTTGTTGCATAAGTTGCGACTCTGCGAGTTGCTGTTCCTCAGGTTGCGACTCTGCGAGTTGCTGTTCCTCAGATTGCGACTCTGCGAGTTGCTGTTCCTCAGGTTGCGACTCCGCAGGTTGCTGTTCCTCAGGTTGCGACTCTGTAGATTTCTGTTGCGTAAGTTGCGACTCTGCAAGTTGCTGCTCCGCAAGTTGTTGTTGTTGTTGTTGTTGTTGGAACTCTGCAGATTGCAGTCTCACAGATTGTAGTTCCGCAAGTAGCTGCTGCGCAAGTTGCAAGTCTGCAAGTAGCTGTTGCGCAGTTTGCGATTCTGCGAGTTGCTGTTCCTCGAATTGCTGCTCCGAAATTCGTTTACCTTCCGTTGTGGGAATGTCGGTTGTTTTGTGGCTCGCGGTTTCTCTTTCGCGTTGTCTCTCCTGTGCCTGAAACGTCACGGTCTCTAAATGGCTTCTGATCGCCATCAGTTCCCTGATGATGGCGGGCGAAAAACTGTCTTCCGTAGAACCGCCGCCTCTCAATTCGGACGTTGTGATCATCATCGCGTCCACCTCGGACGCCACGATCTTGTGCGCTTCTATTTGCGAAACGCTTAGCCGGTCGACCTTCAAGTCTCCCACTTCGAGACTGCTGATTCTCAACGGCTCGTCCGACAACAGGCCCGATCTTAGCTGAAGTCGCGGCTGAGATTCTTCGGCAATGCGTTCTTGCAGATGCGGCGCCGATTTGTGTTTGTCATCAAAATCAGTCTCTCTGATCGGCGAAGGTGACGTCAACGACACCGTGTCGTACTCCATTCGAATATCTTCTTCTTCGCGCATTTCCTCCTGTTCCTCACTTCTGAAGAACTTCGACACGGGCAACGGTGGTACAGGCGGCGTGCTCGTTCTGCTCGGGCTCGGTATGCGCTCCGTCGACACTAACACCTGCGAACCCGATCTGGACGGCGTCACAATGAGCTTCGCCTGAGTAACCTCCTCCTCGATTATCATGTCGTCCGGCAGCGGATCTGTTTGCGTCGCCGTCGTTATCTCTGCGAACTCAAACGGGGTGCGAGGTCGTTCGATGTGCTCCCTCTTTATTCTGGGTGGTCTCGGTGGCGCTGGAAGCGGCCGACCTTGCATCTTGGTGAGCACCTCACCGCTACGAAGATCCTTGTGTTCATCTCCGTCGATCTCGATGTACGGCGCGGATTCGGCGGGCGCCAGGTGCGCGCTGCTGATCGTCTCCGACGTCGTGTCGATGTTCTTCTTCTTGACAGGCCCCAGAGTGCTGTACGCTCGTTGAGGTCGCTTAGGCGGAACTGGTTTTGGCAGTGTAGCGAATTTGTTGCGTCTTCTAGGCGGTGGCTTCTCCCGCTTATCCACCATCGCGTAACCGTTCGAGAGATCTTGCATCGAAGCGATTTCCTCCTCAAGCGGTATATCCTCCTCGACGTATCCGGCTTCCGGCAGGGATTCCGCGCCGTGCGACGTTCTGTCCTCGTCGGCGGCGATCGACGTTGTTCTCGAGCGGGATCGTCTCTTAGGCGGCATTGGCACGACTTCTGGTCCAGAATCCTGACGACGAAGCTGCGCGTCTAAATTCCGAATATCTTCCTGACTCGTGAGCATAACATCGCGTCCGGACAATCGCTCGATCAACGATTGTCGCGATCGTGATCGCGATGGCCTCGTCGGAATCGCCGGCTTCTTGGACTCGGTTTCGGTTTCCCACTTGTGATGACCGTTGCAGACGATCGGCGCGCCGACATCGCCGTTTCTCCGCTCTATCATCGTTTCCCGGTGCGAACGTTTTCTGCGTATCGGTACGACAGGCGGCAAAGCGTCGGGAACAACATTGTCGGGTGAGAGTATAGAAGTCTCCATCGGCGGCTGCGACTGACTTCGCAGGGACGACGATCTCGTCTTTCGTCGTGCCGGTTTAACCACGACTATGTCGTCTAACGGTTCCTGCGACAGCTCCTGCTGATCACCTTCAGTCTGATACACCACGCGGTGTCGGGAATCGCTTCTGGAGTCGCTTCTGGTGCGCTCACGAAATACCTCGTCCACAATCGACGCTTCCCGGCTGCGTCGAGCCGCCGCGCGTTCCCGCTTCGGTCTGATTGGTGGCGTTATCTCGCTGGATTCCACCGAAGTCTCCTTGTACTTTCTCCGAGATCGCATCCTCCTGGGACGTTGCGGCGGAGTGGGCGGCAGTTCGATGTCGTCCAGAGCGTTGACGTCCTCCGACCTGAGAGCGTCCCGGATCTTGTCGGTAAGATACTCGCCCAGGTGTACGTCGTCCTGGCTGATTCCGCTCGCCCGTAAGAAGAACTCGTCGGAGTCGATTTCTTCTATCACTCCACGACGTCTTCGGTCGCAGGAACTGCCGCTGGACGCTTGTTGCTCCCGATCGGACTGCATCGACGAAGGTTCATTCTCCTCTTCCTCCAGTTCCATTTTGTTTCCCCGTTCCTCAGACGCCGCTTTGCGCGGTCCAAATCGTCTCGGATCCACCGCCATGAACGCCCCGCCGTAATCTTCCTGTTCCATAGCTCGCATGTCCTCGTCCAACGATCGAGATCTTGGAATAGGTTTGAACTTTTCCTCGGGCATCGCTTGCTGCTCCACGCGCCAATCGGTCCGTGCCAAGTCCTCGTCCTCTTCGACCTCGTCACGGTCATCACGTTTCTGATCGCCGTACAACCTAGGATCCACTTCCATCGGCTCCTCCTGTTCGTACGATTCCTCTCTTCTTGCTTTGTGAGTTCTTCTGGGTGGAGCGGGACGCCGATCCGATCTCTCCGAGGATTCCTGCTCGTAGTCCATGTACTGTATCTCCTCGTCATCGTAATACTCCCGCTTCCTCGTGTCTTCCCACGGAATTGCTTGCGCCGCTGCCAATATTTCTTCCTCCGTTCTAGCGGACAGTCTCGGCGGTTCATCCAGTGACGTCTGATGCCACGGTGGCGAGCCGTCGCTAGCTGCCGCCGTTTCTTCGGGTCGATCGTAAGTCGGATCTTCTTCGAAGCGCTGCGCCCATTTGGATTTTCCTTTGCGAGTACGAGGAAAGGTCGCGCTCTCTGCCTCTAGAGTGCTCTCGGTTCTAGAATCCTTGGGTGAGGAATCGTCGCGTTTCTTTTTGTCGAAGATACGCGGATACGTGGCGAAGTCGAAGATGTTGCGCCTCGAGCCAGCCGTGGACTCGGTCGAGAGTTGTCCTCCCTCCTGCGTGGATGAGGACGGCCTCTTGACGCGAGAAAACGCTTCCGGCAGACGGATGTTGGGTTTCTTGATGTTGAACTTCGGCCTGTCCGGCAGATGAAACTTGGACTTGTCCGGCAAACGAAACTTCGGTCTCTCCGGCAGATGGAACTTGGACTTGTCGGGCAAACTGAATCTCGATCGGTTGAGCGGCAAGCTGAATTTTCCCGTTTTCTCGGAGATGGACGATCGCAGGCGTTCGATTCGACTCGGTCGCTTCTCCGTCGATTTGCGGGATCTGGTGTCCGACTTGCCGCTGCTCGTTGCCGTCGACCTCGTCGTCGACGTCGTCTTCTTCTTGTCGGGCTTCTGTCGTTTTTGTGCGAACGCGAATTTCGGACGGTTGATTCCCTGGAGTCGGGAGCGCAGCTTGCCGGCCTGAGTCTTCAGACGTTGGGGGAGACTGCGGGCGCCACGTTGAAGCGGCAGTTCCTCTATCACTGACGAGTCTACCTGGAAATCGCGAGTGCGACTGTCGTGAAAAATAATGCGAATGAATTTTATTCGTATTATACGACAAAAGTCTCGGAGATTCTACGGTGTTAAAAAAACAAAAACTTTGGCAACTTTAATAAAAAAAAAACAAATTCTGTCGTTCCGTTAATTAAAAAGGAAGTTTTATATTTTTTTCTTTTATCGAGGATATCGTAACATCGGTGAAAACGAGCTACTTTGAGGTCAGCAAGATTGGATTATAGTAGTGCCGCGCGCGAAGCGTTCGACATGCGATATTGCCGAGAAACACGCGAAGCGCATTAGAAGCGCGCGTTTTCAAGTGCTGTAAAAACAGCGCTAATCGGAATCGCGCAAGAAGCAAGCCCGTCGTCGTCGGGTTTCAGATCTATTGTTGAATTTGTCGAAATAAAAATCGCAGGGATTTGCATCAGCGCGCGGAAAAAATTTATATTGGCGCGAAGAAGACGATTGATATCGTCGCTTCGACGGCGCCGCGCACGTACATCTTCCCGATTGCGCAATCCGATGGAAGAGCGATTCGAGTTTTCCGGAGTGTCGCGCAACCGAGACGCAATGAGATTGCACAATCGGACAGTGACACGTTCGCGCCACCTTTTTACGCGCGCGAGTTTTACGCTAAATATAGGCGCGATTCGTAACGCGAGTAACGCGCCGAAAACAACAAGACAATGTCGGCCACTTGCGAGTGCTTCTTCGAGTTTTTAAATTCCGAGCGTCTATTTGATCCCGACGACGGGATATATTTAACCGCTGTTTTTTCTTTTTCTTATTTTTTTTTGTTTTTTGTTTTTTTTTCAGAATCTCCACGAGAGCGAAAAATTGCAGCAGCCACTTTTTGAAAACAAAGACGATGGATTTGCCAAATATGTTCACTGATGATTCGAATTTGCTTACGACAGTGAAATTATCTCTGTTCTACCGCTCTCTTCTGCGCGATCGGACACTACCTGACTGGTGTTGACCTCGCCGTCGGTCCTGGACTCGGTGTACGGGGTGGACGCATCGAGAAACCGCTGCTCCAGCCTGTCCTGAAACTCCTGCGCCGTAGGCGAATCCAGTTCTTCGGAAGTGTCGCCGGTCTCGCCGAGTTCGCGACCCTCCATCGCGCTGTCCTCGATCTTGCCGTCCAGCGGTAGGACCACGTCGCCGTCCAGAATAAGCTCGGGCGGCAGCCGTCCCCGGTCGTCGATGCTGTCGTCGCTGTCGGCGACGGGCATCACGTCCGTGTCGGTGATTCGCACGACCGGCGCCATCGCCGGATGCGACGGCGGCGCGATCGGCTCGTACTCGTGCTCACTGCGGACATTCATGACTTGTACCTGTTACAGCGAGATTTTCGAGTATATCCCCGAGATCGAGTTCGCGATCTCCGCGAACAAGACTGTCCTTCAGATCATTTCAAAGCGGCGGATGTTTTCTCAACACGTTTTGACGATGATCAGTTACGTTACACGATCGTGTAGGAAGTGATGGTTTGTTTTGTTCGCGAAACGTGTCTAGGTTGGGTATTTTAGACACCCATCAATTCGTCGGCGCACGATGACATGTTGTTCTACATGTCTGACCTCCTTTCGATCTCGTGAGATCAACGTGAACAGTGTGGTGACATAATTATGTAGAATACCTCACGTAGCGGAGCGATTGTGTTGCTCGAATAAAAAAAAACTCATTCACTGACGACAATTTGCTATTTTGTACTGTGTTCCTTTTTTTGTTTTTTTTTTTAATTCAGTAAAAAAAAAAAACAAAAGTGCATTGTTTGTAGTATAGTTGTAGACTATATATATAGACGGGATAGTTCAGATGATGTATTTTTGTATTCATGTACTATTAAAGAAGAACATTAAATGTGTATTTTTGGTCAGACGTGTATTTTGATACTGTCCGAGTAAGATGTAAAAATCAATTGTTGTGCAATTTTTGTTTTCTTATTCTTTGCATGAACAAGCACTGAGCTTAAATTATTTTTATTTCCGTGCTTTCATTTGCGGCACCGAGAACTCAATGTATCTCCGCGCTACGCCCTCAATGTTTGTCGCGAAGACGTCGTCTGTCTTCCTTTCGGGTTATTATACTTAATAATAGCAAAGTCCGTTCCAAAGCTGCTCCCGTTCGTAAAGCAGATGTCCATCCAGTCTTGTCCCGTGTGTGAGTGCGCGCGTACCGGGAGCGTACGACGGGCGCGGGCGACGTGGACGGGGAACTGGACTTGGCGGATTTGGGAGCTGACCGAGCTTTCTATCTATAGCCAGCCGGGCGAACCTTAAATAGCCGCGACGATTTTCGCGACGCTATTTCGTATGGTGTAACCTATACCGGATGCGACGACCGATATCGATGAGTGAAAAAGACAAAAAAAAACAAGAAACAGACGAGATTGACGACAATCATCTCGCCACTTTTACTCCGTTAACCACCACGCGGTCGACGTGCGTTTAAGGGTGAAACGACGATCGCGCGCCGGTCTCGTCCGTTCAAACTCGGACGGATTCGATAATATACTCTCGCACGTGTATCTACTTAGGCGGATACTGACCTGCAGCGGACCGCAGGTGGCTGCTGCATCGTCCTGGATGACGGTCTGAACAGTTGAGCACGTCGTTCCGGCAGAAGCGAGTCGCTCTTGTAGAACTGACAACCACAACGAACCTCGCGTCCGAGGCTCGACGTCGACGACGCCCGCGAGGCGCGTCCTCGTTGTTCCGGCTCCATCCCCACCGCCCCGGGAGAGACGCCGGAGGTGTCCCGGCGGTGTCTTAATCCACCTCCTCCAGTCTTCTTTTCCTCTGCGTGTCTATCCTGATGTCTGACGTCGACGCGAAACGACGACGACGACGACGACGACGACGACGACGAAATCCCGTACGCGAAACACCCTTCGATTCTCTCTCTGGAAGGGAGAAGAGGGAGAGAAAGAAAGAGAGAAAGAGAGGGAAAGACAGAGAGGAGGAAAGGAGGCTGTGAGCGGCCCTCTCGGCTAGAGCAGCCCGCTGCAACAGCTTCTAAGCGACTCTCCTCTGTGTCCTCGGCCGTCCATCGAGAGCGGACCGTTTCCGAGCGGACATCGCGGATTATTTATAGCAATCTCTGGTATTCAACACAGACCACACGAGACTGACTCTCTCGGACTCACGCTCTTTCTTTCCGAGTCGCCGAACCCACCTGATCGCCGCGTCTTCGATTCTCGCGAACCGAATCGAGAGTCTCTCTCACCTGGTGGCATCGAGGAGGATGTTGGCTTTTCCGCTTCATTTGGTAAACGATTCGGCAAAACGTTAGAGAGGAGTTAGAGAGACGGCAAGTCTCGCGGCTTGGTGGCCAAGCATCAAAGTTTCTTTAGTTATTATAGAGTTTTATAGTTATTCTATTTACGTGTTATACGATAAATTCTGTGCTGATGTTTGTTAATTTTTTTTCCGATTAGTTAGAAAAAAAAACAGGAGTTACAACGTGAATGTGGGATGGGAAATTGGAATACGCGGAATTTTTGAACTCCTTTCTCTCTTCTGTGTTGTTATCGAGGACAGAAATTAGCGACGAACAACACCAGACAAGTGTCCGCTAACGCGGCATCAGCGCGAAATTAGGATACAGCTGCGGCATTCTGCGTCAGCGCGTTAGCGCCACTTATCGGTTTGTCTTAATTATCGGGAAGCGAGTTGTATAAGGAAGCCCGACGACGCAACGAGCGACTTTTCGCGCGATGCGGCATCTTTTTTGTTTTTATTTTAATTATCTTAGCACGCGTGATAGGGGTCATTTAACACGTGTCCGAGAACACTTCCCGCTTCCACTTGTTAATCATTAGAATGTATCTTTTGCAGTTGGAACTTTTTGAGAAGCGAAAGAGAGCGAACTCGATAAATTCAAGAGCGACAGTCAAACGCGCGTCTTCGATGTTATTTTTTTTTTCTTTTTTTTTTTGCGAAGCAGGGAAGTGTCTTTCGACGTGAAGAGTGAGAAAAGAAATTGTACGAAATTGCTCGATTTGAATAGTAAACTTTTTTTTTTCTCTCCAACAATTTTTTTTTTTTTTTTTTTTTTTCCACTGCGATGACACGCTCGTTCTCTCGCAACTTGAGTATGCGAGGAGAAGTATAAAGGCAGCCACAAACGTCAACATGCGCGGCAACGTGGGAATTTCGGCGATTGTGTCACATCTTGGCACTCTCGATGCCAGCACCGTGCGTACAATGCTGGTGACGATATCTAAACGATCGTCGTTTTTCACTGCGCATCAGTCAATGTAAAAATAATTCGTAGAGTAAAGATAGAGATAGAGAAAGAGAGAGAGAGAGAGACAGACAGACAGACAGAACAGAGAGAGAGAGAGAGAGAGAGAAAGAGAGAGGGAGAGAAAGATAGAAAGAGAAAGAGATAGAGAGAAAGAAGCGCCGCACAGTTGCGTTGCATTCTTCTCGAAGGTGCATTAATGTGTTTCATAATTGTACATATTCATAATTCGATGTTTTGTTGTATATACATGCGTACCGGGTGTCCCAAAATTACCGACACATCTTTCATACACAGAAAAGTGATCGAGAATCAAAATTTATGACTTGTTTAATATACACTATTTTTCTGATTAATATATAATTTTTATAAGATCACTTTTTAGTTTTCAGTTGGAGAAAGTAAATAAAAATTGTATAAATTTAGTAAACTTATGACGTTATCAATAAAAAAGAAAGAGGAAGAGAAAGAGAGAGAAAAAGAGAGAGAGAGAGAGAGAGAGAAAAAGAGAGAGAGAAAGAGAGAAAGAGACAGAGAGACTTTACATTTTTATTAAGAAATACTTGAGCTTTTAAATTAGAAACGACGACAGAAATGATGATAATTCTGAGACACCCTGTATATAGAGTTTTTACAAACGTTATATATTCTTTGTTAGATATCTATCGGCGTGCTATATATATATATATATATATATGTATATATACAGGGTGTTCCAGACGTACCCTACGTCACACGAACAACGTCAGAAACCCCAAAGGATTCGAAAGTGAATCAATCAAGTGTTTAACAAGAGAGTGTGGAATAAACACCGAAATATCGTTTCTTTTTTTCTTTCAGCTCTGTAACTTTTTTTTTTTTTAAATCAGATTTACTTCAATAATAATTCTCTTAATCAGCTTAAATCGTTCAAGACGTTCAAGCTGAACAGAATCGAAGAGCGGACGGTGTTGGGGTGTGATTTAAAGTTTCCGCAAGGAAAAAGAGACTCGATCCGCTCGAGACTCGTCAACGAACTCCGAACGTGACTGAAAGATAGTCCGGTAGGTCTGAAACGCTCTATACTTTGCAATGCTTTATAAAATATATAGAATATACACAGCATGTATAAATATATAATATACTGTATGTGTTACGCTAGATGTGTATGCGTGTGTATGCACGCGCGCGCGCGCGTGTGTAGGTGAGTGGATAGGTGTGTGTATGTGTGTGTGTGTGTGTGTGATTGTATTTATTTTCTAGAACGTTTGTTCGGTCGCTAAGGATCCGACATCGTGACGTTTCAGGGTTAAATTGCACAATGTACAAGAGAGTGTGAGCGCGCGCGCGCGCGCGCGCGATAAGATTTTCTTCGATAGTCTTTTTCCAAGAAGGATTCCGCATGGTCGCTCGGCTCGTGTTCCGGCGAGTCGTCATCCGTGCGACTAACGTCGAACTTTCCTCACTTGCTCACACATCGTGCTCTACTTTTTGCTTATAAATAAACGAACGGAAAGAGAGAGAGAGAGAGAGAGAGAGAGAGGAGAAAAGACGCTGCGCGCGTGGGTGACGCTCGCGAACGACCAAGAGACGAGACGACGAATAGCGATGACTATGATGATCGTAGGTGGTGTTGATGATGTTGCATCTCGCACGAAGCGGCGCAGAAACGATGGATAGTCGATCGGCGCGTTTTTGCGGTGCGAGTAAACGAGATAGAAATAATGCAAATACCGGGATGTGTTATTCGTATGAAAATTATATTGCCACTCCATATATATATATATATATATATACATATATATTTATATTTATATTTATATATGTATATATATATATATATATATATATATGTATATGTATGTATATCTATGTTACAGAGTTCAAGCATTCGAATTCGCATTTTCATCATGTGTAACTCTCGAAGAGAAACCAAAAAGCATTTTTTTTTTTTTTTTTTTTTTTGTAGTTTGTATCTTTTTATCTTTACATTATCAGTCCGAAGCGTCGGTGCGTGGTAAATACACTCGCTCGATCGCCG